CCCCAAGCTCACCCCTGATGGACCCCCCCCGCGCCCCCCCGCGCTGCCCCTGCCCCCTCCCTGCCCGCCCCAGAAGAACATGCCAGAGTCAGCCCGACGACCGTCCTCCTGGGCCGATATTCTCGACGCCCATGCTGCTCTGTCACCGCCGCGCCCCCCCTGAGAAGAAACGAACGCCAAACAAAGGTGAAGGAAACCTTGTTAAACAGGGTGCACAATTTTCGAGTAAGCGTGTCTCCTGGCTCTCCAAAGTATGGAACTCTTTATTTCGAGACAGATCTGGGAAAGATTATTTCTTCTTCCATTTCTGGTTATAATAATACACCAGTATTTTCGAGACAGTTCTTCTCCTCAAATAGTACCATGGTATGGGACATGTCAAGTGGCACCACCTCCTACGGCTGGTGTAACCACTTCTTCTCCCTGTACTCTTAATCTTCCAGCTTCTTTAACTAGAATATCTGATATCCCATACTCTGAAAAGATACATGTCTTACATTTGAAACATTTGTTACTCTCTGAAGGACATGCATTATGTACAAGTTTACAACCAAGGCTTCCCGCTAAACGCAACCTCCGAAGGCCGCCGGCCCGCCAACGGCTGCCATCGCCCCGAGACCCGCGGTACCGCCCATGCCACCGAAGTGCGGGGCGAGCATGGTCGATTGGACAGGAACGCCGCTCCACGAGGAGGCTTTGGAAACCGATAGTTTCTCGAAACTAAGGGACTTGCCGACGGTTGTGAGCTCCTTGACAATGGCAGACCTGTCCACCATGTCGCCCTCCTCGGGCTCACACTCAGCGCAGGCGTCGAGCACAGTATGGAGCACGGGCAGCCGTTGGCAGCGGCGTTGTGGCACCAAGACAAGCTGAAACCGGGGTCCGAGGAGGGCGACATGGTGGACAGGTCTGCCATTGTCAAGTAGCTCATAACCGTCGGAAAGTTCCGTAGTTTCGAAAAACTATCGGTTTCCAAAAACTCCTCGTGGAGCGGCGTTCCTGTCCAATTGACCATGCTCGCCCCGCACTTCGGTGGGTCTCGGGGCGATTGCAGCCTTTGCGTTTAGCGGAAAGCCTTGGTTGTAAACTTGTACATAATGCATGTCCTTCAGAGAGTAACAAATGTTTCAAATGTGAAGACATGTATCTTTCAGAGTATGGGATATCAAATATTCTAGTCAAAGAAGCGGGAAGATTAAGAGTACAGGGAGAAGAAGTGGTTACACCAGCCGTAGGAGGTGGTGCCACTTGACATATCCCATACTATTTGAGGAGAAGAACTGTCTCGAAAATACTGGTGAAATATTAGAACCATAAATGGAAGAAGATAGAATCTTTCCCAGATCTGTCTCGGAATAAATAGTCCATACTTTGGAGAGCCAGGAGACACGCTCACTTTAAAATTGTGCACCCGTTTCGAAGGAAAACATAAATTGAAAATCGATCGGTGAAGACGACCACCCACCCACCCACCTTCGAGTTAGCTATTCTTCGAATACATCAAGTATGTAAGCAAAGGAAACGAGTGTTTGATGGGAGGAGATGTTCAAGCCCAATCAAACACTCATTTCCGCTGCCTACATACGAAGAAGTGGTTACACCTGCCTTCGCAGGAGGTGATGCCACTGGACATAAGCTAAAGCTTGGTTCGCCTGTGTACAATCTTGTTTTGACTCGAGTGGGTTGGGTGAGTAGGGCCGTCAAGAGGGTGGCAACAACAACAACGACAACGACAGCAGCAACCACCGTCACCATGATAAATACAACGACCATCATGGCAACGATCAAGACAACAATGACGACAACCTGAAACACTGACGACGACAACGTCAAGCAAAAATCGTACCGTAGGTTGACATGACGTAATACACCACACACACCCCCTGGATCGATTTTCCACATCTCGATATCTCGGCTGGAAAATCAGCGACGGCGTTGAAAATGGCGTCAGGGGTTGGAACCGTGTCGTCGAGAGCTTTCCGAAAACGTGACATTCGAAATCGACATCATCGTCCTCGTGGAGTAATCGACCTTTGGAAACCTTGTGTGTAACGCAACCTACGATAACCATCACGACCACCATTACTAACACAACAACTACCACCATGTACAACAACACCGACAAGGGCAACTGCATCCACCACCATCGCAACTACAACAACATCAGCAGCGGCGCCTTTCTTTGTCACGCCGCCTGTGCGACCGAAGCGTGGCGAGAACCACCACGCGTCGAGAGGTAAGCGCAACGACTCCGAGAAAAGCTCTCAACTTCGAGCTGTTCGACGAGAGGTGGCGAAAAGAGAGAACGAGAACGAGAGAGCAAGAGAGAGAAAGAGAGAGAGAGAGAGAGAGAGAAAGCGTGGTCCACCGTGTCTCATCTCTACCACCGTAAGTCGTCGAACGACGCCACGCCACACCCCGCACGCATGGCAGACCTCGAAGGTCCTTGCCTTGAGAGGTTCAAGCTGGAGGCGCCATCTTTAATGCAACACCCGCATCAACCACGCAGTGTGCCGGTATACACCTCTTCGGCTGTTAGACCCACGGAACGACCCGTAAAGCGTGACACCGCCAAGAAAAAAAANCGGTATTGGAGAAATCCTTGGCGTGAGAACACTATGAGGTCTTAACCGCGTGCTTAATTCTCTTCCCCTCTACCTCTGCCCGTTGCCCTCTTGCTCTCCCGCCCCCCCCCCCCCCCCCTCCTCCCAAGGCCTTCCTCGCCACGTACGGGCAGTCGGTGGTGTCTGCAGACCTCTTGGAGAGGTCTTCCTTCTTCATGAAGGCGATCGGCTCGAGGTTGAGCGCGTGTACCCACTTCTTGGTCTTGTCCTTGGGCGCCGCAGACCCTGCGGCTAGCTCCCCCAGGGATATGAACCTGGGTTGTTGTTGTTGTTGTTGATGATGTTGTTGTTGATGATGATGATGATGATTTTTTGAGGGCAAGTGGATGAGGTACCGGAGCCTATCGCCATCATCATCGTCGACATATGCAGACACCGCCGAATCGTAGGGGACACGACACAAGGTACCAGACACCCTCGACCTAATTTCAAGGCACGGAGAGTCTAAGACGAAGAGGATGCCTAAACGAAACGATACGCTTTCGGAAAGCTCTCGGCGAGACGGCTTCAACGCCCCCGTTATCGGCGCTGCCGCTCTTTCTTCTGCGGAGAAATCGAGGTTGGAAAATCGGTCTGGGGTATGTGACCTCTGATGTCCCCTACTACTTTAGTACGTCAAACAAGAAACCACGTATGCCTACAAAATCCCGGCCAGAGCTCAATGGGGCACAAGCAAAGCAAGCCGTCAGCCCACCTGGTTGTGTGCATGCACCCGCTGCTTCCGTAGTTCCTGTAAGGAGGTCGCTGGAAGAACGCCCCTTCCGATGCCGCGAAGTGGTACCTGTGGGAAGGGTTTGGACCGGTGAGGTCGGGAACTAACACGCCATTGCTATCAGCAGCAGCAGCAGCAGCAGCAGCAGCAGCATGACCCAAGAAAAGGGACAACGGCAACGACAACGACCGCGCCAACGTACCTACCCAAAACCACCACATCCTTTATGCCGAATCGCATTGTGTTTGGTTCCCCCCCCCCCCCCCCCCCCCCCCCCCCTTTCACACGGGCATCAAAACGACGGGGCAGCTTCCCACATCTTACACCAACGACAGTACCGCAATAACCCCGAATAAGGACGAGCATCCTCCCGCTCCTCCTCGCCTCCTATCACCAACAACCGCAAACGCGTCAGTGAACACCCTTCACCCAAGCTTGACCACAACGCCACCATACTGGTACAACGACAAACTCCCCTCCCCCCCCTACGCCTGCGAGAGGTCAATGATCTACCGACTAAGGCATGCGCGGCTATCAGTACACCCCGCCCTCTTCTCCTACAAAACAATAACAACACACAATTCTGTAAGCTTGACCGCAACACCCAACGCTGGTATCCCCCGCCCCCCCCCCCCCCCCCCCCCCCCCCCCCCCCCCCCCCCCCCCCCC